AGTGTGTTACGTGCTTCAGGAGTGACTAACAGGACCCAGGAGGACAGCCCTGGTTCCAACACGGCTTTGAAATCGTACGTGATCCTGGACGTGTGTTGTGGGGCAGAAGCAGAGTGTTAATGGCCATCTGCGTTACAGCCAGTGGCACTGGCTGCTTTGCACATTAGAGTCCGTTAAAGAGTGCAGGCTCTAGATTTGGAACAACCTGAGGATGGCACAGCGTCTTTTTTTCCCTCTGTTTGCCTTTTTGATGATTACTACACTGCCATCCGTTTTCTTTCTAGTTCTATTTTTTGTCCTGTTTCTAACTTCCATTGTCCTCCTTCCAACTTTGAATTTAGGTTTATTTTTATTGCTCACACTTAATAAAAATGATGCTTGTGATACATGGGGTTTTTTTTTATATTTGTTTGCAGGTATAAGCTGTTCTTTTGTATTTTGCTTCATGGTCATTAAATGTGCCCTTGCATGAGATTCCTGTCAGGACAATGAATTTGTAAAGAATGTTTTCCTTAAATTTAGGATGAGTTGATGGCAGAATTAGAAGAACTGGAGCAAGAAGAATTGAACAAAGGAATGAGAGATGTCAGACTGCCGAGTGTTCCATCCACATCGCTGCCTTCTCACCCTGGTAAGCTGCTCACTTGCCATTTTATGTTTCTCATGATTAAAGCATGCTGTGATTAGGAGAAGAGGACAAGAGAACTCCAGGTATGGGTTTAACTGTGTTTTAACTTTCAAAGTATTACAGATTCCTTTTCCTATTTTTCTATCTGTTTATCAGTAAAAGCAGAGTGGAATTCTCGTTTGCTGTATGAAAGCATTTAGGATCAAATTATTTGTAGATTTAGGGATGTAAACATGGGGAACTTGACCTTCCACATACAATATTGCTTCTCCTCCTGAAATGCGGTAAAATCAATGAGGAATGGGATGGCCTTTTTTCTCTTTTTGGCAATTAAATCCGCAGTCTTTTCGAATGAGAGTCTGACCTAGATTCAAAATGTTTGCATCACAAAGATCCAGCTTTGTGGAGCAGTGGTTTGATATTTACTGCTAGTATTTTAATTAGCAATGAAAGAGGCATCAGGAAGTAGTCATTTAAAGAAATACTGCCATTCCTTTGCATTCTTTCTACAAATCAGACTTATTCCTGGATTAAGTACTAGTCTTATTTTTCTGTAGTTCTACCCTGTTCATTTTGAATTAGGTCAGAGACAGTCAGCTTTTAACTATACCTTTTGTCATGTCCCTGCTGTATTCTATCAGCTGAAAGACTTGCTGTGTACTAATCTTAGTAAAAGGGTATAAATATTTGGTGGCAAGGGCAGCACACGTGTGGCACAGGTTGTTTATCGTGCGTTCTGCTGCAGAACAGGTTCCCTAGACTAGCTCAGCTCAGAGACCTCCTATATGTGTTTTGGCAGATGGCACTTAAAACCCTGAAAAACAGTTTAAAGTGTTCAGTGGGATTGTTGCCTCACCTACTTCAGTAAATTGCGGAACAGCTAGTGAAAATATGGGTTTAGGAAAACTCGGTGCAAACTGCAGTCTGCGCATTTATGGCTTGTTCATACATCCTCTCAGGTCCAGCTGTGCCAGTTGATGTTTGTATTAAACTCAGGCCATCTCTATGTGCTTCTCACTGTCTTAATTGGCTATTTCATCTGTCTGTATGACTGCTTCAGGCAGAACCAGCTAGTTATATTTATACAGCTTAAGGCCTTGCGAAACTGGCTTATCTTTTATGAAACTGGATGCTTGCTGTTAAACAGCAATGGCAAAATAAGAACAACAGTTAACGGTTCCATAGTGCTTCTAATCAGAGATGTGTGTTACCTTCCTGATTATAGAGATGGGTAAAATGAGATGGAGCAAGGCATAGTGAGACAGTGGCATTTGTCTCTAGAATAGGGGCTGGACCCCTGATCTCCTGTGTCCTCCTCCCGCCACCTTTAGTCCCCTAAGGTGGTAGTTGCAGCCCCCTTCAAGGTGGTTGCTCCCTGGCCATACAGCTGCCACAGGCAGGCGCCAACGGGCCGCTGGAAACCCAC